GAGGGAAAGTAGGAAAATGGGAGGGTTAGGGAGGAAAGGAACAGTGACACCACTTGAGTCACAGTTCCCCCCAGAGGAGGTGCACAAGGCCACTAAGCAATTCCAAGATGCCATCGCCGAAAAGAACAATGAGCTTCACGTCCTACAACGTTTTGTCTCCGACAACAACAACCTTGTCAACCTCGTCCAGAAACTCCCCGAACAACTCTCTCATGATGTCATGGCAAGTCAATCCTTGTTTTTTCAATGATTTTTCTTCTTTTTTGATTATCTTTGTAAAAAAGTTTAGAAATTTAAAACTGGGTTCTCAGGTTCCGTTTGGGAAAGCAGCGTTCTTCCCTGGTCGTTTGATTCATACCAACGAGTTCATGGTGCGCTTTTCCCCCCTTTGATTGAATTGAATATGCATTTTTTTTCTTCAATTTTTTTCTCAGTGGTGAGTGTTTTTTGGTTATTAGGTTCTTTTGGGAGAAGGGTATTATGCAGACAGAACTTCCAAACAAACTGTTGATATTTTGCAACGAAGAGGGGAGTCCTTGAATTCACAGGTTGATTCACTTCAGGCCACGATCAACAACCTTTCCTCCTTTATCAATGTCACAGATTCTGAAGTAGCGGTTTGTTTCAACACTTCTCTCATTAGTTTGGAGTAATTTTCAATTTGATTTGTATTCAGCAGTTTTGACAATTCACACTATGGTATTCTAATCGGTTAAATTTGTAGTTGAACTTGGTAGTACACATTGTCTGGGGGATTAATTTTAGTTTCTTGTGCTGCATTTTCTTCTCATGTCTATACATTTGTTATCATTTCCTTTGGTGAAAAATATTTGTTAGCAATTGGTGTTAATATTTTTGAAGTTTGCATCAATTATTAATTGCTGTTGTGTTTAATTGGTGCAGGAGGGTCTTGTGGAAATAAGAGAAGAATATGTGGAGGGCGACTCTGAAGAAGAGGAATCTGAATCAGGCACGTTCTCCCTTTCTCGCTTTCCATGGTTCTGTAATTATATAAGGTGATAGTCTATGTTCATTAATCACCATCAACCTAAGCTCGTAGTGGTAGAGGGTTGGAAAGTTTAAATAAAATTCAAGTCCTTTATAAAATGTTATTAAAGTAGCTGTAATATTATCAACATCTCGCAAGTTCAAGTCTAATTCTGTTTAACTTGATTTTTTCCATACCATTATGCTGGTATCATTGGCATACTTGATTATTTATTTTAATGTGTATGGAAATGTTTAATTTGGATTTGCAAGGAGGGTGTGAGATTTTCTGGTCTTTTATTTACACACTACATTTTCATTTTACATTTTTTTTTGTATTCAACTTTCAGTTTGCACTACAAACAACCTTTTCCCCATCTCCTATCTTCCGTTTTTCTCCTAATCTAAGCTTTCTAGTTCTACTTATAGGTCAAAACAATGTTGTTTTATGCGATTTTTTATTGTTCAAATCAATTTTACAGTGTAATACGAATCCAAATGAATGCTCATGCTCAGTAGTGAAAGTGGGCACATAAAATCAAAATATACATGGACATACGCCCATTAATTACTGTATGAGTGGGTGTATGCATACCTTTGAATATAAGAAACATATCTTATAGTATCTTGATATTATCTTGAGTCATCTCATACGATTAGTTTCTCATCTTATCTCTTAAGTTAAAACTAGTTTTCTTTTATGACGTAATTATTACCATCATCATAACTGGTTTCTCTATTCTATTATGATTAGTAATTTTACATATAAATAGGGATAGGGGTCTAGTGCTTACTAAAACCTTGGTATTATCAATTCATCAATCAGAATCATATTTGTAGGATTTTATTCTTTCTATTTTTTCTTTTATCAAAAAAAACTTAACTTCAACATGGTATTAGAGCCGCACCCATCTTCTATGATACTATTCTGATGCCAAGTTCCCCAAAGTAGTAAACCTTACAAAAATTTGGAACTCTATTATTCAAATCAACCACACACAAATATGGATCCCTCGCAACATAGCTGTCAATCTGTCACCTTAATACGCTTTTGTGTGCATGTTTTGTGTTTATCACTCATATTGTGCTCAGATAAGTGGGTCTAGCCACTGTCAAGACAAAGTTGTCAGCACCCGTCTCATAAAATTTCGTTTCGCCGTTTGTTTTGTTCTTGACTCACCAATAGTAGTTATGGTTTATTCTTTCTGGTTTCAGGCCCACCTATTGCAGTGTTTTTTTTGTCTTTTATATACTCCTCAACTCTGTTACTCTAGGCTTTAAATTGAATGCAAGCATATATTTTTATCATTGCACCATTTTTGCCAATACCTTACTTCTAATTTGTCCGAAATATTGAAAATTTGATTGGATTCAATGTCAATATCTTTTTTCTTTCTTTTCAGATTCAGCTATTGAAGATGTTCCTAGTGTTGGGAATGATACATCCAAAGAAGTCGACTATGCTTCCTTTTTGGCTTTAATGGATGAACTTGAGAAAAAAGAAGCCCTTGCTGAAAAAAATGGTGATGACAGTGATCAAAATGAGGAAACTACTGATGATTTTGATGTTAGTCCATATCAGAGACCTGCCGATAACAATCCCCAAAATCTAGAAGTAATATTCTTGATCAATTTGTTTCTAATTTCAAAACATTGTTTATAGACTATGAGCATAATGAACTTTGATAACTTAGGATTTAATTTTCTATGAAGTAGGGTAGTAATCAAGCCATACCACTGGACCAGAGAAGCAATAGAAATGCAACAAATGAATTTCTAAAAAAGCATAATCATCAAGAAGATATAGCTGATCAGTTGAATGTAAGAAAATTTCTTTCAATTATCTTATTTCTTTTTTTTTTTAATTTATTTAATATGTTATATAACTACTCAGCTGAAAGTATATGTTTTTGCATTTTAATTTTGAAAATGCAGTTTGCGAACCTGGCTGTTCAATCTCAGGTCAAAGGTTGGTATTCATTAAATTCTTTGCGCCCTAATTTTCTTTGTATATGCATTTTTCATGGTTCCGTGTATATATAAATTGCTGCCTGTGACGTTTGCATCCACTGTAGAGTTGAATTTCTGTTGTGTCTATTCTATCAGAAGGGAAAATTTTAGCACAAAATATGAAATCCATTGATCCTAGTGTGAAGCCGCCCGTAGTTCCTAAAGAGAAGATATCTCAAGCAACTTCGGCACCGAAAATTGAGGTATGCAAATCTTTTGATGAAACTTTCATTACAATTTCTTGCCCGTAGGTAGGTGGTCTATACTTGAAATGTACAACTATTTCATGACAGTTGAAGCTTGACATGTACAATTATTTTCCTTACAGGTTCAACATGAAACTTCACAACCATCATTTGATAGTCGCAAGGTTTGTTTAATCTTTATAATCTTTTCTGTCTCAAGTCATAATAGTACTCTGCTACAAAAATAGATAACAGTCGATAATTTTTTTTTTTGAATTAATATTTTCTGCAGGCTTTTACTGGCTCCATCGTAGAGCATGACGAGAATTTAAAAAAAGCTTCAAGAGAACAAAGTTCAACTTCACAGGTAAATTAATTGAGTTATGTAAATGGCGCATTCATAAATAAAAGAATATTTCTTGTAATCATGATTTTCATAATCTTTTGCATTTTCATCACTGACTTAAATCTATGATGATTATGGTTTGATGTTTCAACAGGTTTCTGGTTCTCAACCTTTAAAACCAGTCTCCAGATTCAAAATGCAGAGAAAATAGATACAATGATGAGTAGATTTTTTGAAGTTCTAGGATGTGCTCGTTATTATAATCAAAAGCAGAAAAAGTGAAGGTGGGATAAGCTTTTATGAATAGTTAAAGTTCTTGTGCTCTCCTTGTATGATGAAGAATCCAAAGAAAAGAAGGCATAATTTGTAGCGCACCCTTAAACAAATTTTACAAGTTTTCTGGTTTTTGTAGTGGATTGAATTGGAATGAAAATGAAGTAGATTTTATTTTATTTTATTTTATTTATAATGAGAAATGTAGTTAATGAAAGTCTTCTGCATGTATTGCATAGGACAATATCTTCTTTCAATTTGTTCTTAATTGCAACATCTCAATCTACGATATGAGAGAAAAAGAGAGAAAATTATATATAAAAAAGAGCAGACCTAGTATGAAGGTTTTAATATAGAGAATTCATTTCACCCTGATGTATATGAATGTTATTATAATATTCACAAAAATGGCTAATAATCAATGAACTTTGATTGAAACTGTAACATATAATTAGTTATAAAATATTTAAAGATTAATTGAATTTTGATGTTAAAATCAATTTTTTTTCATGTTAAAATAAAAAATTTTCATGTGAAAATCAACAAAATAGTATTAGCCTATTCCACGGTATATGTAGCTGCAAAAGGCATTAAAAATCATAGAGATATAGTGTACTGTGTTTAGGGGCACTTTTTGAGGGTTTAGGAAATAATTTATTTTTAGAAATGTGTGTACCTAATATATTTAAAATTGAAATAGTTAACATTTATATAAAAAAATAGTCTTTTTTATACAAAAGAAAAAGTAAACCTAGAAAAATTGTATTTATGAGAATATTCTGCTACATGTGTGGGACAATCTACATACAAAATTGTATCTATATCTCCTAGTTTTTATATATACATGTTGACCATATACTGAATATTCTTAATGTACTTTTATTTACATGAACATGGTTTCTCTTATATATATTAAGAATATAATGGAATCATGAATGTTACCATAATGTTCACATGAATAACTAATAATCGTGAACTAATTAAAATTGCAACATAATCAGAACCATTAAATAAAAAAATATGCTAACAATCAAGCCATATTTACAGCAAAAAAATAGAAGTTACAATTTTTGGATGACAAACTACATCTAAAAATTCGATTTGTAAAAGGAAAAATTGATTATCTATGTGTTTCCACATTTTTCTACTGTTTTGGCATGAAGGCCTGCATTTGTTTTGTCATCCATGAGAACCATTACTCAACCTTTAAGCTTTTTCTTTTTCTTGTTGTAGTTTATAAGCACTTTTTCTCTCTCTACTGGAGTTGCAGATAGTAACCATTTGCTAAATGCAAGCTCTTCCATGCCCATAGACTCTGCAAGGAGGCTAAATTCGGCTAGCTTCCTTTCCTCAATCAAAGGAATTTTCTGTTTTTTAGGTACACAATCTGGTTTTTCCCTTTGATGGACTAAAGAGATGTTTGACTTGCTTAAGCTATCACTTGAAGGGGGGTCACTCGTAGATAACTGCCCTTGAGTCCCTGGTCGGGAGTTGACAACGTCTTCGTTGCGATGAGCGTAAACAATGCCTAAAATTCCAAAACTTTAGTTTTCTATAAAACAAAACTAAAAACGGAGAAATTATTATTATTATTAAAATTGATGCCGATAATATTTACCGAGGTCTTCATATTCAATATCTGGTTTACTTGTTGAAGCACCAGTAGATTCAGCACATAACCTGGTTTCAGAATCTGATGCTAATAGAACAGTTTCTTCCGACATTTTTAATTTTTCATGTTTTGTTTTTTGCCCGTCTTTTTTACTCGTCTCGTGCAGTTCAACGATTTCACTGGTAAATAGTTTATCAGATAAATCTCGAAATAAATTGCAAATTCCAAAAAGCTCCCCTTTAAATTCCTTACAATCCTGAAAGGAAACTAATTATTTTTAGAATTATTACACAACAAATGAAAATAATTGCAACATCAAAATACATGGATTTTGGTACCTGGACACCTTCAAAATATCGTTTTTCCATCTTTCCAGAGACAGCGATGTTTGAGAGCTGCTGTTTGTAAATCTGACGAGAATAAACTAGTTCTTCGAGTGAACCAGCTGCGAGAAGACGAAATACCACAACATGCCGTTTCTGACCATATCGAAAAGACCTGTCCTGAGCCTGTAAGTCTTGTGCAGGATTCCAGTTGGGATCAAATATTACAACACGGTTCGCACTAACAAGGTTCAATCCAAGCCCACCAGCACGAGTTGATATCAGAAACACCTAAAATGACAAACAAGAGTCTAATACAAATGGAATCGGAAAAATGTTTGTTCAGCTATCAAGTTTGAGATATACTTGTTTGCTAGGACTAGAGTTGAAATCATCAACCAGTGACTGGCGTAAATTAGTTGGAGTGGACCCATCAAGTCTTGAGAAGCAGTAGCCTTTTCGTATGATAAATTTCTCCAGTATGTTCAGCATCCTGGAAATAGCAGAATATAAGGAACATGCAGAGAGCAATTACTAATGCCAACAGTGTTCGATCACCCCGAGGCTGAAAGACAACCATGGCCTAGTGGCAATGGATAAGAAGAAGCTCTCTATAACCTAAAACACTTACGTTTAAATCAGGAATCTAATATGAAAAAAACATAGAGTAAAATAACAAAAATTTCAATTGCTATTATTGTAAAATTTTAATAGTAACTTATAAGATATACCTAGAAAAGAGTTAAACATGATCTGAAGGTATATCAACTATTTACCTTACAGAATAGCTAAACAAAAGAACTTTGTCACCATGGGAAAACCATGAGAACAATAGTTTTTCAAGTGCTCGCATTTTGCCACAATGTTCTGCATCACTTAGACCCATGAAACTCTCATTCTGCATGCTCCCGCCAACTAAGTCAATGTCTGGGCCATAGACAGCAGCAGCAAACTTTGCATCTTTAATTTGTTTGTCAGGGTCGTCTTTGGGGTTTGGCTTAATCAGCTCGAGGTGATTGCTTATCTGGCATAAAAGAAACAGCAATATTCAAAATAATGTGAAGAAGCATCTTGAGCACGATCATAAACAAGTTTGTTCAAGGGAGTAAAACCCCGAACATAGTGTATGCAAACTGAAAGGCATTAGTGCTCCTCATGGCTTGGAGCACTAACGAATAAAGCTACAACATATGTTCAGTGCTATGAACAAATTAGCTGTTAAGGATTCTTTGGAATGACAGTATTTTCAAAAAGAGAGGTAAAGAAATTTATAAGACCTCACTTAACCTGTTGTAGCTTGACAAGGCATGGAAGGACAAGGCAAAAGGGGCATGAATCACATCCATCGGGGTTATCTTTGTGAAGGTAAGGCCACATAGCTCCATCTGGTACTATCCTTTTGCAACACTCAACTTGAGTAAGAGGGCTACCGCAACTACAAGGCAGGTCTTTATTTATTAGGCACTGAATGTCAGGAAGCTGGATCATTCTCCTATAAACACGTTTTTGCAAATCACTCATTGCACAAAACACAATGTTATCTTCTTTCCCCATCATAAGATGCCCTATGGTCTCTTCCTTTGTCCTTCTCAACATATATTTATTAAGAACCACAACAAGGTGTTGTTTTCTCTTATTAGCAATTTGGACAAACCTATCAGGAGCAGTTGACCTCTGACCATGCTTAAGGGGTTCATCATAAAACTCACGGAAGTGTTCCCGTGTTCCAAGGGATCCAGGTGCAACCAAATCAAAGAGATTGAACAATTCTAAGATCTTATTTTGCATTACAGTCCCAGTAAGACCATATCGTCGCAGGGTTTTAATTTCTAAACATGCTTTATAGAGTTTTGATTTCTCATTCTTAAGTCGATGAGCCTCATCAATAATCACAATGCTCCAACGGATATTTGACAAAGAACTGTTGCCATGAATCCTGTAAGTGTCAAAACTGGTAATAAGTACTTCCACTCCATTTGCTTCCAATTTATCATATATCAAATCGCGGTTTGCACCGTGATAAATGGAAACACTGAAGTTGGACCACTTAGAAAATTCACTCTCCCAGTTCTGAATAACGGATGATGGGCAAATTATTAATACAGGGTCTCTTTTCTCCACTTGTTTCTCACTATGAACAGATTCTCCTTTACCAAATATGGCAGCAAGAAATGCTATTGTTTGAATCGTCTTTCCAAGACCCCTGTTTCAAATTTTAATGTGCAAAAATGAACTCCAACTTAGTAACTACAGCAAGAGTTGAGATAAAAAGAACCAAATATTAGCAGCAAAGTATACCAACAAATAATATAGACAAAAAGGAAAGATAAAGTCCACAAACTTAGTATTCATAGGGCTCAAAATATGAATTGTTTGTAACAGAAGACGTAAGTTGAGGTTTTGGAAGTTCAAAAAAGAGAATGCTAAGATGAAGATTGCAAATATTTGTAAATTTAATGACAGGCCAACCTGAGAAGCAAAATAGAAATTTGCACAGTACTAAATTTCTTTACAATTTTAAAACAAGAAGCAGTGGACTCAAAATAAATAATTGAATATAAATTAAACAACATTTTTGCATCCAAAAGCATTTAGACTCAATACAAATCATCAAGTAGATTGTGATAAAAAACGTTAGAGGCTTAAGTTGAGAAAGTGCAATATTTCAGGAGGTAAAGTGCAGTATACTCTAATAGGGTGTACCACGGTTTACATGAAAGGGTACATAAAAGCAGAAAACTAAGAAAATTCCATCATAATGTTTTATATAAGATCGTTCTCAATCCATTAGAATTTCCAAATTAGACTAATAAAACATTGTGCTTGAGATTGGGAGTAACACAATATCGTTAATTTTTCATACACCTACATCAATATAACTGTATATACTATATTCATACTATAGCGCAAAAATAACTGGAGGGGGTTGATAAAAAAGGAAAAATAGAAGAGGGGCAAAAGCGACAAGAGAGGGATAAATGTGTAACTCACATGTCATCTCCAAGGATGCCTCCATGATTCTTGTTGTATAAATCATACAGAAACTTCACTCCCACTCTCTGATGCTCAAGCAGTCTACAGTTTATAGATGCAGGAACCTGAAACAGTGCTCACAATTTAATTCAATTTCAAATTTAACTACTTAAAAAAACTTTAAATGATTCATGTTGCAAACTAAAAATATCTGATCCGCTGAATGCCGATGGTAAAGAGTACTACTCACATCATGCATTTAAAAATTACAGCAATAAACAAATTCATGGTAGTCAAGCACGGGATCTTAAGTAGGATCGAACGGCCTGTGAAAGATCGTAAAACTAGGATCGTAGCACGGCACTTAAGATCTTACCGAAGGGAAAAATGGTAATTTGACATACATATACACACACAAAAACATGAAAATTATAATACATGGATAAAATAACCTATAAATCACTAAATTCAACCAATTAAAGAATAACTCATAACTATCATTCCATAACTTAACACGTTCAAAAGACTGTTCAAAAAAGTAGTTCAAAAACATAAATCTAACAACCAAGTCTAATCATCTAAGATATTATGTATTCCCATATCATGATAGTCATATAAAAGGCAACTTCAGCACGTATGATTGTAAAATCTTAAGACCCAGCACTCTATCTTGACCACAAAATGCACGAAATTTTTTTTTCCTAAGATAGTAGCACTAAAAGGCAACTTCAGCACGTAAGATCTTAAGACCCAACACTCAATCTTGACTACACAGAACAAATTGATAAACATATGTGATGTGCCATTCCCAATTGTACCCACCATTGGGAAATCTACTCACTACTATGAGTCTATCTATGTAGCACTGACACTTTATAATTGACACATGTTGGTATCTCATACGTGCAGGTGTGGTGTCCTCTACAACATTCACATAAGTAGTTACATTCAATTATTCTACTTTCTCAAACTAACGACATGTGTCGTGCCTACTTGATATTTCGCTTAAATTGAATGTAAATACCAATATAATAAGTCTATAATTGCATTCAATTAACCAAACCATTGTATGGGATTAAGCATAAAATGCAATAATTGTGGTGACTATAAGTATAGAAAGTTGGAATGATGAGTACCTGAACTATAGGAAATTCTCCATTAGTGGACAAGACCAAAGGCTCAAAGGGTCCAGTATGATCAAATTGAAAGTGAGAAGCTTTGGCTGAACTGAATTTCACCCTCTTTGTGTCTGGCTCTTGTTCTTCTTCGTCGTCGTCATCTTCCTCTTCTTCTAGTTTAACTTGTTTTTGTAGGGTTTTGGAGTGGTTTTGTTGCGAAAGGAAGTTGTGTGGGTTAAACGGTGGGTCATCTGGGTCCTGAAGGAGGCGAAGCTGATCGGCAAGAGAGGATTTGGGGGGTTTTCTGTGGATTGGGAAATGGGAATTAAAATTGAGGAGAATAGAATTGGATTGGGAGGAAGAAGAAGAAGGTTGTGATTGTTGGGTTGTGCAATGTCTGAGTGTTTCCTTCAGAGTCTGCAGCGACATCGAGAGAGAGAGAGAGAGAGAGAGAGAGAGGAAAGTTCCAATTTTGATTATTTTTCGTCTTTCAAAATACTGCAATTGTTAACGGCCAAGTACAATTTATGCAGACAATTTGGTGTTTTTCTTTTTGGTGCCGCCTAATTTGGCTTAGCATCGCAAATATGCCAGTTTTATTTCTTTTATTTTTTTATTAATTAAACTAATAAAAAATTCAATTAGTATGTTTTTGGGTTGAATATGATTTTAGACGAACATTTGTTTGTAGACTTTTAAAAATATTAAAAATTAAAAATATAAAAAATTTAAAAATATTAATAAATTAAAGTTGAAATAATAATACATATAAAGATGAAAGGTAAACAATAATATCAATAATAATATGATTAAAAAGAACTATTGAAACTTATATTAGATAAATTAATTGTTTAAGTTTTTTTTAATAAATTAGACACTTATATTATAAGAGAGAATATAATGGTCGATAAATTTCTATTATTAAATATTTGAATCAGTAATAAAATTGATCTCGTTTATAACAATAGTATTTGTTTCTATATATAAAAATAATTTAATCAACAATATTTTTTTTATATATAAATATTAATTTTTTTGACACTGTTTATACAAAAATGAATCAATAGTAAAGTTGTTTCCGTATATAAAAATATTTGAATCAAAAATAAAGTTGTGTCCGTTTATAACAATAGTTTTTTTCATATATAAAAGTACTTGAATTAACAATGTATTCTTTTCGTATATAAAATATTTTAATTAACAATATATTTATTTTTTCGTATATAAAATATTTTAATCAACAATATATTTATTTTTCATATATAAATATTAATTTTGTTTTTGTATATAAAAATATTTGAAATCTTCATCTTTTTCAAATCTTCTTTCTACAAACTCATCCCCACAATAGCTTCTTCAACCAAAACTTCCAAGGATACCAGCAAACACACTAAGGAATCCAAGAAATTTGGAGAGCTTGCTCCAGTTAACAAGATTCTAGGTCCTAATGCAATAAAAAACCAACAATACATTCTTGAGCCACCCCGCAAAAAGGAAAAACGCATGATATACCAGTCTCAGGTACTCACTCACATTCTTGTTTCTGGTAAGATAAACGCTATGCTAGATCCTCTTCCCGATCTTACTGCTGATCCTCTTAAGGTTAAGGAATTCTTTCCTAGTTACCATTGTTATAAACCCATAGCTTGTGGTCAAAGATCCAAGACTAGTGAATAACTTAAGATTGATGAAAAAGCAAAGGTTGATGGTCAAGGTTCTCCTTTGACCATAGCCTCTAGGCCCCCCATTAATTTAGAGTATATGAATAATAGTTTTAGGGTATTCAAGTCATTTTCTTTGTCTAAAGACCCCTCTGATTATCTTGGTTGGCTAGAGAAAGTAAAGAAGGCAAAATCTCAAGTCTGGAAAGACATGGGCATCTTCGACATAATTCAGTTGTCGAAGGTGGGGCCAATTTATTTCCCACCTATGTTACTTGCTTCCCTTTATTTCTGAGATAGTACCTACAACAACTTCCATCTTCCTCGTGGGATGGTAACACCCACCTTGTTTGATGTAGCTGCCATCACATGCCTTAAACCAATTGGAGTAGATTATGATCCCAACCTTTTAGCTGACGACTCCATAAGTTTCGATACAGACAAAGCAACTTCCACCACTTACATAGCCCACTACCATGATAAAGAAACCCAAGAAGCTTATGATAATGAACACATTGCTTTCCTAGCACTCTGGATTTCCCGTTGTGTTTTCTGCTCAAGGTCTCTTCAAGTGGAAAAGAGATACTTAACCATGTCAAATCAATTACATGCTGAGTATGAAATTTGTTTAAGCGAATTATTTTTAGCCAATCTTTACGAATCCCTTGGAGAAAGGGTTAGAGCACTGAAGACAATCAAGACAAAAGGGAACCTGCTCCTTTCTGGACCCTTTTGGATGTTACAACTGTGGCTGAATGCCACATTTGAAGCATCTCTCCCTGCTCGCAGTCCTATCAACGAAGAGTCTGTTGAAGTGAAGAACATGAGGATTGAAGGTACAAGGCTCGCTTTGTTAACTCCCAGCGATGAAGGCCTAAACCTTCAGTACACCTTCACCAACTATGTAATGATGTTTGCAAAATGTTACAACTTGTCTTTTAGCATGTCTCTTTTTGCATACAGGAAGGTGGGTCTTAAGTGGTTCACCATGAGATTTCCCCCTCAGTCGGAGTAACAAGAAGCATAATCTCTTGATATCTAGAAATATTTTCTTAATCCAAGACTACTGGCCACAAGACTCAACCCATCAAAACTTGGATTCACCTTTGTTAGTTACCAACCCAACCTCGTAGCTAGGAAGTTTGGCCTCATTCAAATCAAACCCAAAGCACTCTTCCCTAAAAAGAGTTACTTCACCCATTACAATATGTTTCACGATGAAGCAGAGTGTACCAAATTGTTGGCGAAATATACTGATCATACAAAATTCCTTCCTGTGGCTTTCAAACCACGTTTCCTTTGTACTCACGAGTTTCATGTAACACCCATTTTAATTATTTAGTCACTTTATTATTATTTTAAAAATTATATGTTGGTGTGCCCTTTGGTGGGGGTGTATTTGATGATGTTTGGTGGGTGTCCCTAATGTGGGAGGACTATTGGTGATATTTTGGTGTGAAATATAGTAATATAAAAATAATAGTAACATTGGTGGGGGTGTTATTATTATTATTATATTTATTATATTTGTTACTATTATTAATATTATTATTATTTTGGTGAAATAATAATATTAGTATTATTATATTATTATTATATTATTTTTATTAATATTATTATTATTATTGGTGTGATAATATTATTATTATTATAATTATAATTATTGTTGGGTGTATCACTATTATTATTATTATTATGTTGAATATTACTATAATATTATAATAGTATTATATTATATTATATTATTATTATTATTATAATGATTATTATAATTATTATTATTAGAATTATTATTGGGAATATTAGTGGTTGGAATAAGTAAAATAAGAGGTGAAAGGGTTATTGGGAAGTTAGAATGGAAATATGAAAAGTCACGATAGAAACCGTGAGGAAGGAAATATGAAGGGGTAGCAAGGAGATATTAGAAAAGTTGGAATGGAGAGGAAAGAGATTACCATAGGCGTGGGATATTGGTGTGATAATAATAATAGTATTATTATTATTATTATTATTACTATTATTATTATTAGTGTTATTATTATTATTATTATTAAAAGTATTATTATGATTATTGGAGAGATAATAATATTATTATTATTGTTATTATTAATAGTATTATTATTATTAAGATTATTATTATTATTATCATTATTATTATTATTAGAATTATTAATATTATTATTATTATTATTATTATTATTATTATTATTATTATTAATATGTGGTATTATTAATATTAGTAAGATTATATTAGTATTATTATTATTATTAAGATTATTAATATTATATTATTTTATTAGTTATTATTATTGGGATTAGAATAATTAAAAAGGGAAATAGAATATGAGGGGTTAGGAGAGTTACGATACATTTTAGAAAATTGAGAAAAAACAGCGATAGAAAGAGAGAAGAGGAAAGAACGAGTAAAGTGAAAAAGAACGAAGGAAAAAGGGAACGAAGAACGGAAGAGGAAGGAGAAGGCCAAGAGACCAATTCTAGGAGGAATTCTATCGATCGACCAATTGTCAAGGTAAGGGGGGAGAAATTTGATTGGGAATGGTTTATACATGTATAGGGTAGAGGGGATTCCTTAACCCCGTAGGAATTTATCGTTATATAAAGTTTTATATTGGCATGCTATGATTATTGTTGAGGTTGGGGATTGATGAATGATGATGATGCATTTTGGGGTATATATATATATATGGTGATGATGTTACTGTAGTATTGATCCATTTTGTTGGATTGTTGATGTTACTGTAGTGTTGATAGTAACTAGGAATATAAAGCTGATGAGATTATGTGTTGTTACCGTAGTGTTGGCAATGACAGTGATTATAGCTTTGGGAAAAGTTATGTGTTGTTTCCCTATAGTGTCGTTAATGACTATGGTTAGGACCTTGGTGAGATTCAGAGTGACTCTGAAATGTCGGTAATGTACCGTAATGTCGGTTCTAGAGTAGAAATTATAGGATAATTGGTAAGTATAATATCTATTGGCATGTTTGTGATTGTGGATTGATGTTGATGAATTATTGATTTTGGTGTATAGGCTGAGGTGTTGGTTTAGGGAGGTTCTGAGTAACCTCAGAGACTTTTAGTGAGATGTCTGAATTGGTCTCGTGTGATCCTTCTAGCCTTGCTGTAGTGTGAAAATGATGAGTATGGGATATAACTTGTGTACTTGGGGATAGTACGCGTTTCCCTTAATATTGTTGGTGAGCAATTAGTAATGTATATGTGTGTAGTGATCAGTAGGATCGTGTATCCCCGAGTGGGGGGGGGGGGACGTAGTTATATCCGGTGTGATAGTATGAATTCGTTTACTATCTGATTGATTTATATGGTGTTGGTGTAATATATCTATACATATGCATTGTTGTATGATGATATGATCAGGAGGATCGTGTGCACTTAGCGTGCCAGAATATAATAATTATGCATTGGTGTCTTGCATATCATGGTGTTTTGGTGGGATGAATCATGTCTCAGGAGGAGCGTAAGTGATTCATCCGTACTCCTTTGTGGAGAATGGTGGGGGATAGATCATGTCTCAGGAGGAGCGTAAGTGATCTATCCAGGTTCGATTGAATGAACCAATGAGTCGGTACCGCATGCATGGTGTTGAGTTGCATAATTGCATTATAATATGTTATATTGTAATTTGAACAGTAGGTTCGTTATATGGTGTTGTTGGGGTGAATAATTGATGTGTTGGTGTGTTTTACTGCCTTATTACATGTATTACATTACCATTATATTTTTGAT